AAAGTAAATGTAGACCCTGCGATGCCTGGTGGGTTTTCAAGAGTCTTGCAAGGTCAAGAATTGCCGACCTTGAGAGCCAGTTTTGCGGAGAGCGAGTCTGATACTGCTGAGAAATCTGTTGCATGGCCACCGTCGATGGATGAAGAGAAGATTGATGGGGTATGTGCTTCAAGAAAATATGGTTCAGAGAACTGGATGTCCTCAGGGAGGCATGAACCAACTTACACAGATTTGCTGTCAGGCTTCGGGAATAATGTTGATTCCTCAAATGGTATCTGTCCACCTTTTGTCGATCAAGGTGTAGTATCTTCTAATTCAATGAGGAAGCATTCACTGGATAAGGAAGGGAAGTATAACTTGCATTCGTGGTCCATGTTACCATCATCTCTGTCACTTAGCTTGGACTCTAATCAGAAAGGACGTCTTGGAAATATGTCATACCAAGCACAAGGGAATTCTAGATATGGTGGGTTTGGTGAATCTTCTGTTATGAATGGGCAGAGAGTTGAGCACCCACATGGAAATTGGATGATGCCTCCACCTCCATCACCTTTTGAGAATCTGGCGAATGCAAGGGAAATCATGCCGAGACCACAGATGTTACTAGACAAACATGAAGCTGTGAAGCCTAAAGATGGAAACTACAAGCTCTTTGGTATTCCCCTGATAACACCAGATCCTGCATTGTCACACAGAAATGCGATGAATGAGTCGCCTCGTAATAACCAAGCTCATACTTTTGAGTCTGACCTGAAGTCTGAAAAATCAAGGGGCTCAAAATCAACAGATAATCCGGTGGCTGTTAGCGAGCCAGCTTTGCAAACTCTCAGCAACATACCAGAGATGCTCAGGGTAAATCACAGGGTGGTTCAACTAGGAGTTGTACCAAGGTATCTATCTTTTTCCCAACTATTTTCTTAGGCTTTATTTGGAACTCTGTTGACAATACGAAGGCCTATTGAAAACTGAACTTAATAAATTGCTGTTGGTTCCAGGTTCACAAGCAGGGTATTGCACTAGGTAGGTCTGTTGATCTTACCAAGTTCAACCACTACGAGGAGCTGATAGCTGAATTGGACATGTTGTTTGAGTTTGGTGGTGAGCTGAGGTCCCCGAAAAAGAATTGGATGATCGTGTATACTGATGATGAAGGTGATATGATGCTTGTTGGAGATGATCCCTGGCAGTAAGTTTTTATCTTTCATCAATCTGCAAGATTACTCATTTGTTGCCTTTTAAGATGAGTATGGTTAGTTATTTTATATGAATCTTTTGTGACTCGGAGGTTTTACTAAGTAGCGATGTTATATGATTGGTTCAGGGAATTTTGTAGCATAGTTCGGAAGATTTTCATCTACACCAGAGAGGAAGTCCAAAAGATGAACCCCGGGACTTTGAATGCACATGGGGAGGATAATCTGTCATTGGGTGCGGAGGGTGTGGATGCAAGAGTGGGGAAGTCTCAACCACTTCCATATGCATAGAAGTGTCAAGCCTGGTTCTCGAGATTTGTAGGTATATGGCTAGGTATATAATTATCCTTGAATTATATTTTCTTTGTGTTGTACATTTTATGCCCCTTTTCGGCCATTTCCATCACCTGTCATTACTGAAAATGTGTAGAGTTTGGGGGCGAGATGATAGTGATGGTGCTTTTGTGAGGGTCCTACTAAGCCATTCAAATATATCAAGTAGCGGAGTTGGACCGTTTCTCTATTGGACTTTGAAATTCAGCTGACAAGTCCCCCCCCCCCCCCCCCCCGGATAGGTGGCGATTCTGATTGATCTAGTTTTGTTGGACATGTTCTGGAGTTAGTTAATTTGGAAGTGATCTGGTTATAATATAGAGATAGATAAATATGTATACCCTTTCGGTCCGAGCAAGGTGACGTGGGCCTAGCTTCTTGTCAAACAATTCCACTTTGTACATAGGCTAGTTCAACCTCATTTTCCCGACCTTGTGATGTAAGTTAGTGCACAGATTATCTAATGTTTATGATGTTTATGGTTAAGGAACGCATTGCTCTGAGTCTTTCTGTTGTTTTTTGGGTCGTAAATCGAGCATGTCTGGACGGCATTGTCAAAAGTAGAAATCCTGTGGAATTCGTTGTCTTTGTCAAGATTTGGCTATTTTTTGCAAGCAGCACAAATTCGTAGTTTTCAAATAACCAGTGGATCCGTGGCTGAATTGAGTTATGCACTCTTATCTTCCCCCGGACTTTTCTTCTTCCTAGCCTTTGCTTGAATAATTCAAAGGAGAATCGAGGGATAGAGCAAGTAGAGGAGTGTCGAAGGAGAAAATGGGAGTGAAAACCGCTACCCTGTTGAATCTCCGAGCGCTATGAGAGGGTATTTTCGCCCCTAGTTCACAGCTTTGACTCCACATGTAGCGCGTACTTGACTTGTTTAGTCCTTGATAATGTCAGCGATAACGACGATTTCTACTATGGTACGGAGTTTTGAGACGCTTATCTGTAAAGACATGTAATGTCAAGGAATTTCGTGCTGCAAAGCAACCTCTTTATGACAAATGACAATGCCATTCGAGAATCAAAACCAAGCAAGCTTTCATTGAATGTGTCAATTTTTTGTAATTATTGGGTGTGTTTATTTGACCCTTTTGATAGTGCTGCTTAAGAGAGAGAGAGAGAGAGAGAGAGAGAGAGAGAGTGTTTCTTTCTTTCTAGCCACCCAACTTTTATCTTGTGGCCAATTTTTACACCTCAAATTTGATCACACAACACATTATTGTCACTTGTCACCCACAACATTGCCCTAATTTCCCCACTTCTCCCATTTTGTTAAAGTTTGACTGTGATGCTAAAAAACAAACTGTCTCGGCATCAGAGGTGCTTTCGGAAGGATAGTAAGGCTCCCGCTTTACGCAGGGTCTGGGAGAGGTGAACGTTGGCTAGCCTTACCCCCATTTATGGAGAGGCTGCTCCCAAGTCTCGAACCCGAGACTTACCCCCATTTCGGAAGGATAGTATCGGATAAATGTTTCCAATTTCCGTTCCAAAGTTCGAAATTGAATTGGATCGGATCACAATCATCAAATTCTGAATTTTAGGCATATTGGAAATTTAGTTTTCTTTATCGGAATAGGTTTGTAACACTACGGAAAATTTGAATCGGAAATTCAGAATTCTCTTAATCTCTAAATGCATTCAGATTCCCGTTTAAATTTTTTGAAAAATCATCAGATTCATAATTTATAGGTTCGGATACAAGAATTTTGAGTCGGAAATACCATTCCAAATTGCAATTCTAGTTGGTTGTAAGCAAAAATGAACTAGTCTCGTGTACGAAACCTGTATTAAAATAAGGTAAGAAAAGGATAAGAGGCAGAGACATACGGGTACGGACACGGATACGACCGGAAATACTAATCCTACATACTGTACTTGGAATATTCAGAACGATACATGACCAAGGAAAAAGCAAACATCTCCCACCTCACAAACCTCTTCCCTATTATTTGTTGGGTTGGGACCATTTTATGGGTCTCATTCTGTTTTCATGATCTCGTAGACTCATCGTCACATTACGTCACCATTGGGTTAGACCAATCCGAACCCGTGCATGTTCAACCTAACTTTAAACTCAAACAAGTGGGTTTTTTTTTTTTTTTCAATTATAACCCGTCCCCAACCTAATTTCAACCCGTTCATTGATTGGGTTGAGTTGGGTTGATCATTTGCTCATCCATCCCCCAACCCGACTAACTAAACCCAATCTAATCAAATTATAACCCATATCAACTAATGCTTATACTACACCCAATTAGGCCAAGTCCAAACACCAACGCGCTTTCTAATATTTTTTAATAAATTACCCTTTATAATTACTTAAGCTTTTAGGGAATAAGAGGTTTTGATTAGTCAGCTCATATTTGTAGTCTCTAAATCCTAATGCTTTATAGTAGATGAATTTATGAAATTAAAGTTAGCTAGCTTTGATACTATTGGCTAATTTTTTTAGGAATTCTCAGAAACTAAGTTGTTACAAAATTAAATTTAAAAAAGTTGGGCAACCCGAACCCAACCCAAGTAAACCCTACCCTAATTAAACCCGAGCCCAAATGAACCTTAATGAAACCCAACCCGAACCTGAGCCCAAATTGTAAAAGTTGGGTTAGGATTGGGTTGACCTTCCAACTCGCCCAACCCGTCAAAGTTGCAACCCTACCACAAAGCCAGCTCCGAACTAGAAGAAGCCCATTTATTTAATTTTCATTAAGCCCAATTACTTATGTTCGTTTTGAAGCCCAATTATATTATGGATCATACATGATGCGGGTACGGGTACGGTTATTATTTCTTAGTGGTTCCGGGTACCGGAAACACACGTGCGCTGAGTGCTTCTGAGTTGAGTACATTTTATACCCTTTTGAGTTACGATCGGTTTTTAGAATGGGTATGAGATTTTGGAATCTTATCAATTTATGTCGTCTGGCGGTTTAACTGTGTAATTTTTCATCAAATTAGTGACCTGAAAAGCGTGGGTTCTATTTTTAGATTGACGTGGAAGTCACGTATCATGGACTAAAATTAGTTATCATGATACTTTTACTTTTCCTTAATCAATCCGTGTATCAAAACCACAACCAATCACGTAAATTAGTCCAACCGGTGCAAGTGTGGCTTACACGGCCTAAAAATAGGTCAAATATCTTCCACGCCATCAGCTTAACAGAAAAATCATATGATCAAATACTTAGAAAACATGTATAAATGATAATATTTCTAAATTTATGCCAATGTGAAACTTGAAAACTTCTGGCCCATTTTAAATCACACAAAACATGAAAGATGTAAAATGTATTTTTCATCGTCAAACACTAATTTTTAACAAAAAAATAGACATTCATCTAATAAAAGCGCTCATGAGTAATGGTGTTTTCTTAAAAAAAAAAAAATCAATCCTAAAAAAGCTTGTAGAAAACCATTCACCACAATAGTAGGATAATAGCACAATTATTGTAAAGGGCACAACATTTATGGGGTAATTCGATCACAAAATTATTTAAAAACTGGAAAGAAATAGCTGAAAATTTAAGAAACAATCAGTAAATCCAGGTCTGACTGAGCTGAATTTTCTGATGGTACAAAGCAAAACCGACAGCTACAAAGTTTTAAGTTCCTTCAAAAGCTGCTAATTAAACACTTGATTGAACGAAACAATTGAGCTCTGGCAAAACATATACAAATTGCATGTCTCCTTCCAGTCTTTGGTTAAATCAAACTTCAAGTTGTTGTTTTGCTGCAATCTACATCATGCCATGGAACCCGATCGAATCCAGAAGTACCGCCTTTATCTGATCCGGGTGGACGTCTTGGCCTTCCTTGCATTGCTGAAAGATATCGAGAAGTTATGTTGTTAAACAGTCGATATTAACTATTGACTACGTTTCAAGATTTCTGATAACGTAACATGTTAGATTGTCTGGTGGGAGAGCATTACCCTCCTTACCACTGTTAGGCGACTATAATACTAGCGGGATGCTTTATGTATAAAGAACTGATGAGTGTAACGAATGATACCTCGGCACGGAAGACATCCATAGCAAAACCATTGAAACAGCTGATGACGGCTTGCTGGATGTCTAACCCAAGGTTATCCAAAGTTCTCATGGTTGAGAGCAAGAGACCTGGCCTTCGGCCGCAGAACATGTGGATGTTAACTGCTCGTCCTTCTCGCAGCCTAACTTCAACCTGCATATAATCATCAACATCAGAACAGAGTTGATCTAAACCTGATCTAAAGTGAACAGAATTACTCGTTTCCCTTCGCGTTTTTAGCAAAAAGTAAAATTACTAGAAAAGTTTCGGGATGTTAAGAGTAAAGTCTAATTTATACTATTGGATTGAGGAAGTGCAAAAAGAAATTTCCAAGCATAGAGGATGTTACCCTTGCAGCTTGGCCATTTGGGCTAGGTAATGAGCTGGGGCAAAGTTCTTCCTTGATACGATTTGGCAGAGTAGCCGGAGTGGGTGTCAAAGGGTGGAAAGTATTTCCGGTAGGTGTCAATGCAGATCCAGGAGGGATTGACTCCAGTTCATTGTGGAGGTTGTTGATCCTCTGCAGAAGTTCCTTCAAGTACTCAATTGCATCCCCAAGGATTGAGGCCCTGTCCATCTGATATCACATGCCGGAATGTCATTCAAATCATACAATATTCATGAAACACAAGAAAACAAAGCTTCGAAAGCGCTTTAGTAGATCCTCCAAGTAGCGACTTACTAACTAATCTTTCATCTAAAATGGCTTAATGTTTGAACGTGAGAGAAAGTAATGCCATCTTAAATTGAAATCAAGTAATTTGGAGCGTTTTAAATGATGCTACTTGTACAACAAATGAAAAGGCTAAAAACAATTTGCTAATGAATTTTTAGGACCTGATGAATCACCTAAAACATAACATCATTGCATATTCAAATTCACGAGAAAATTGTGTAAACGATGTGAAGTAATTCTTACTTTGCTAATCTTCGGAACAACGGATCTCAGCATGTACAGCCTATCATTGAGCTTCTTCCGGCGGCGCCTCTCAGCCATCAGATTCTTGGCAGGCAACCCTTTCTTCTTCCCCTTATGACCCCCTCCTCCACCGGTAACCGTGCTATTTGCATTCGAGCTGTTCCCACCATTCTTGGCACCGTCATCAACCTTAGTGTTCTCAGTAAACTCATCCGAATCATAGTTCAAACCCGAACCATCGAAACTCAGATCATCGACATCATCTCCGCCGCTCATTTTCCTCTTCTTCTCATTCTGCACACCCATCTCCCTCTTCCTCTCATCCCCTTCATTCAAAACCAGGCCCCCTTGTGAGACCAAAACACCCAAATTCCCTCCACCATCGCCTAAGTTTTTCCGAAGCGCTGCTCTTTTCTGGAAAAGAGTTGGCTGGACTCCCACAGAAGGGAAGGATTCAAGTGGTCTCAGTAACTTAGGCCTATTGGGAAACAAAGCATTTGCCGAACCATCATCCACACCTCGAAAACCCGAAAAATTTGAACTGTTTTCAAGAGCTTGAGGCATGCGGGTAGTCGAAAACTGTAAATTAGAACCCAAATTCTGAGCATTCACCTGGCTATTCGAGCTTAAATCATTGAATCCAGATAAAACCCCACCTCCCCTGTTCATCATACTCGAACCGCCACCCGAAGCTTGAGTGTCAAGAAACCCAATGTCACAGCCCAAATCGAAGCCGTGATCCAAAGGGTTGTTAGGAACAACATTAAGCAGCGAAGACAAGTTGGGATTTTGAGGCATGTAGTAATGAACCTGATTCGGGTCGAGATTGTTGAAAACCGACGACGACGGTGAGCAGGAGGAGGAAGAGTCCACCGGGTTGAGCAGCAAGCTTTCTGGGTCGGCAAAGCTCGGCGAGAAGCTGATGTCTCCGACATCTGAATGGCCCTGGATGCTGTTATTCGCCGCCATGTACCAGTCGTCTTCAACCTCCAGCATCGATTTGAAGGTAGACAGAGAAGAACCCATCTCGTCCTTGTTCTCGGTGTTGCCGGCGGTGGCGGTGGCGGAGGTTCTAGTCCAGGAAACAGAGTCTCTGTCCTCCCTGTCGTCCATCCAAACACCACCGTTCAGCCTTGGCAGCATTCTGAAACGGGTTTTCCTTTCTGGGTTTTTCTCGGGAAAGAGACAGAATCAGCAGAAACCGAAAGGGGTCGATTGAGACTGAAGGAAAAACCAAAAAGTGAGAGAGCTTTTAAGGGAGGAAGAAATGGAGGTTGCTGAAGGAAAAGGGCATAGCTTTATGGCGATTTCTTGACACGATAGCCTCTGGAGAACGTTACACTGTAATCGAATCTAATCTAATCTTATCACCATTTGGATTTATGTGATGATTACTACTGTGAGAGAAAAAAAAAACTGAAAACTTTGGAGATAAGCTTTCATGGCGTTTCCTTCCTCGTTTCCGGTTCGGCTTTTTGGAGAACTGGGTTTTCTCTGCAATTCCGGGATTTGCAGGAGAAGCTCAACTGGTTTTGGAGGGTGGATTGTGTGAGGTTTGTAGGGGTTTATGTGAGTTCTAATCATGGCATTTGGTATTAGAGGAGTTTTATATGAACGTTAATTGCAAATTTACAGGTAATATTTCACACGTGTTAGGGAGAGCCTTCTTTCTCCCTCTAAAATTTGTTTTTAGTTCTTCAATGCAATTATTATTTTTTTTTTCAAAAATAAGGTTGAATATTTGTTTGGTGTTAGCACATTTTTTGCACCTCACTCTTATGCGTTACATATGTCTCATATGTGTGTTAAGCTAGGTTATTAAAATATTGTACTGACATTTGCGACTGCTAATATATGTTTCTTAACCATGTCTTGTTTTGACCATATTTGCACCATCCTTCCAAATTGTAAGTTTTTCTGGTGTTCCAACTAAATTTCTTATCTCTTAAGTAATCGTTATACTCTTATGCACCTAACTCTTATGCGTTACACACGCCTCACATGTGTGTTAAGCTAGGTCATTAGTACTTTGTACTTATGGTTATGGCTATTAACGTACTTTCCTTAACTTGATTAGACTATATAAGCACTTTCCCTTCAAATCATACGTTTTTTGTTTAATTGTTCTTGTTGAAATTCTTATCTCTTTGTACTCTTATGCACCTAACTCTTATGCGTTACACACGCCTCTCATGTGTTTTACGCTAGGTCACATATTACATATGGTACACTTTGTTGTAAGTTATGTGATGAAGGTAAGATATATTTAACCTAAATACTTCTCTTGTATCCTTATCAATCATAGGTGACTATAGTGTGTGCTCCGATCCTCTAGCTCAGCACACTTACCCTACCCCATTGTCACTAAAAGCAACTTACATGGCATTGAATACCTCAGTAATACTACACATGTGTCATTTAAGTCCTTCTCTTAGGTTCTAATTAAAAGGTCCTAGACGCTAGTTGAGAGGCATGTAGGGGACTAGGCAGGACATGTGTGAGGGCCTAGGCGGTTCTTTTTATTTGGTGTCTAGGTCCACGCCTTGTCCAAAAGGACTTGTTTAGGGCCTTAGATGTGATTAGATTGGATTTAAAAACCAATTAGGTTTAAGGTACGTTGAAGTAAGAATGAAAGTAGAGGTGAATGACTTAGCAGTTTTGATATCTTACCATTTCTTGAGGACTGAAGGAGATATTAACTTTGACAAAATTTCTTTCTTGAATATACCTTAAATTAATTTAGCATGTTATCCAATCCAATCTCATATAGACACCAAACGACCAATATGTTCATAAGACACGCTGCATTCGATCAACATAGCTAGATGCCAAGGTCATTTTGGAATCAAACTATTCAAGAAACTACTTAGAGTTTCAAAAGTATTTTGTTCTCAGGCATAAATACAGCTGAAAGCCAAGCCACTGTGTGTGTCTCTCTCTGCGTGTGTGTGTGTTGCACTGAATAGAGGAAAATAGTGATAGTTCTATCCCTTTGCTTCAAAATTTGCGTCAATAAAAGCCAATGCATGTCAACAATTGGAAGGATGGGCTGAAATTGTATTTAGTGAGATTATATTCACATATCTCAAATTACTTCTCTCATACTATTTTATTTTTTTAATATTTTCTACACATCAATAACATTTGATAGAAAAATATTAAAAAATTAAAAAGATGTGGGAGAAGTTATTTGAGATGTGTTATTATAATCTTCCGTCAGTGGTCTAAATCGATACCTGTCCCTATTCACAACATGACAAGTAAGCTGTATATGTTTTTCTGCAATAAATATATATATATATATATATATATATATATATATATATATATATATATATATATATTTCTGGTTTTTTGTCTTGCATTGATCATGAGCAAGAACATGCTGCTACGTGCCCCAACATATATCAAACATCACATGTCACAGAAAATGTGCTTTATAGTTGTTCAATCTAAACACATAATATGAATATATTGAAATTGCAGATTAGGGAAATTTTAATTGGAGTATCTGCAACCCTAGTTTACTTCTAATCTCGCTGCAGAACCACTTTGTTTTTACTGTTTTTCCTGTTCTTGAACAAGGTAGGTAACTATTAGACAAAAGTATGGTGGCTTAGTATAATTACAAATGCTTATAAAGGTGATGCTGCTGTTTCACCAACTATTTTGTTTGCTGCATGTTTTACATGTTCTTGGTAATATTCTATAACACATAATGTTCTTCGGGTGAATCCCAATGTTAATTTCTACCCTGTCCCATGCTTATGTTTTCACAATTAGATCTTTGTTTTTATCCTTTTCGAAGTTTGAACTACAATTAAGTTTACAAATTGTCTCATGCTCATCTTTTACCACTCGACTGTTGTTTAAGTTTATATCCTGTCTCACCGCCATCCTTTATCGCTCCCCCTTGTTTTTACCCTTTTCAAAAGTTGCAACTAAATTTAAGTTTACAACTTGCCGTACGGTCATCTTTTAACACTATGTTGTTATTTAAGTTTACAGCTTATCAAACGCCCATTGTTTTATCTCTCGTTTACCCTTTTTAAATGTTTTGAATTGTTTTTTAGTTTATAACTTGTTTCATACTCATTCTATTTACACTAGCTTGTTGTTTGACCTACATCTTATCAAATGCTTATCCACTTATCCATTTACTACTTGATTGTTGTTTTTATCCTTTGTAAAGTTTGAACTACATCTTAACGAGCTCATTTCATCCTCATCATTATACTACTCGATTGTTGTTTAAGTTTACAGCTTGTCTCATACTCATCATTTACCGCACGACTCGTCATAGACTTGTAGTATACAATTACTACTAAGAACTCCCAAGGGGCGGCCTTAGTTGACCTTTGAATTACAAATCTCAAGCATACGTGGTTGAAACATAATTAACTAATTGAATAGGAAGAGTCGTAGTAGTAAGTAAAGAGGAGAAAGAGAGAGAGAGAGAGAGATGGGATTGAAATTGAATTGCAGCAGTAGCAGCCACACAGAGAGAAAGAGAGGAATAATTTTCAGAGGTAATAGAAAGAAAGCCAAGGATCTCGTGAGCTTCTTTCTATTCACCGCACCTACCACCCAATCAAACCTTTCTTTCCCACTCACCTTTCTTTTGGATTTTCAAGATCTTGTGGTTGCTCAACGGTTACTTCCTCTTCTCTCTCTCTCTCTCTCTCTCTCTGTGTGCCCTTGCCCTTTGGTCTAGTTTGTGTTTTGTGTGAGTGCAAGTTCATTCACCCTCCCTCCCATGTTTATTTCTAATGTACCAATCAAACTCCCCATCCCTATCTTGAGTGAGACAAATTTTTATACAAGTTCTTCGGATCACGTCATTCGTAAAATCTTCACAAAATATAACATTTTTAATTTGTATTTTAGTTTCACTGAAAATGACACTAATCATATTAGATGTGAAAGTTACTCTAATCGCGCAACCTTACACAAGTTTATCTCCAATCATATCGTTCAAATTTTATGAATTTAATTTCTCTTTGGAATAGGGCCACAAGTTTTTGAAGAATATTGAAAAAGGAAAAAAGATACTCTCCGGATCCACCTTGTGTTTAATTTTAAATAAAAAAATCAAATGATTTCTAACCGCATGATACACCACGAATGACTAAGATGTAGGAATCCCTAGAATCTCCACAAAGTGGATCTAGATGGGATCCATTTCCTTGAAAAAGTACTTGAGGAGAAGAGGAGAAGATGGCTATGTGGCAATGCCATATCCATTACATTATCCTATAAATGTGCATGTTGTTGATGACTTTTAAATAATTAATATGAGATGGTATATATATTGACTTCTATCAAGATAATATTTTATTCTAAACTGCATTGATCAACTTATGTCAAGCAAACTAATTCAACTTATCTAGAGGTGCAACTTGAATCGATGGATTGGTTTGAACGTTTTCAACCCCAACTCTAAATAAGACCTTCATCTTTTTCGAAATAAAATCTCAAGTTAAGAAATACCCAATCTAATCAAATTTGTGTCGAGCTTTTTATATTTTATATTTTTAATTATTATTATTAAGGAGTGTGAAGAAGGTTCAAAATTATTATAATAATTTAGAAAATGAAGAGTTCCGAATCCAAGACGCATGAGGGATAGGATATTAGACTACAATAAAAGTGTAATCAATGTAAAATATAAACAACACTATCGTTGTAAGCTAAGGCTTTATTTGACCCTTGAATTACAAATCTCGAGCATACGTCATGTGTTCAAAACTCTGCCTTATCCTAAATTATCGTAATAGATTTCTAACTCTCCCTCTCCTTCTAAAAATGGTTTAAAAAAATTAAAAATTAAAAAACCTCCAAAACTTAGAATTTTTTTGAAACTTGAATTCAAATGCTTATGAAAGAAATGGCATATCAAATAAATGTATAGAAAACAAAACCTTATTTACATAAGGACCCACTAAATCTATAAAAATAACATAAAGGACTAGTGAAAATTAAAAATTATGGACCCCAATGAAGGTGTAATCAATGTAAAACGTTAACAGATGCAAAAGTGGAAAGAGAGAGAGGTCGACAAGAATAATGATATTGCAAATGCAAGAGGGAAAAGGCTTAAGCTGCCTTTAATATTCAAG